CTGAACTTAAACATCTGCATCTGGTTCACATACAGGCCTTTCCTGTTCCCATTCATGTTGAAGAGGTCAAAGGTATTCAGATGATTAACTAAGAGAGAATAATTAAAATATTAAAATTTTCATGTTTAAAATCAATGGATATTCAAATTCGATAATGTAAACTTTACAAGTTCATTGGTAATTACATAATCAACCCTAAGTGTCATTTGAAGTCGAAAAACATGCTCAAATCATTAATTCTAACCTGCAGATATTGTTAGTGTAGCGAAATACATACTTGTTGTGGAGAAAGAATCAGGTAATTACTCTTTTTGTTAGCAACCCTGGTGCTTTAGCTGGATATCATTTGATTTTGATGTGTGTTTCTATGAACAAACCATTATTCGTATTCTGTATAGTTTTTCAACGATTGGCAAATGACCAGTTCTGCAACACAAACCACTGCATCGTTATCACTGTAAGCATACACCCTTGTTTTTGGCCAAATAACTCTCATTGATCCTTGAAACAGCTTTTATTAAACTTTTTTGTTGGTGTGCTATTTTCGTTTTCTTCACAGGGACGTGGATATCCTGATATTTCCACAAGAAGGTAACAGAGTGCCTTGCCTTATCTGTTTGCACTTTCTTTTCCCTTTTGTCTATATACTTTACATACTTTTCATTTATGTTTGCCAGGTTTTTGGGGCTTCTTGTTGATACTTTGCATCTCCCTACCTATTGCTTGGTAGACTGTGATCCGTACGGTTTTGACATCCTGTCCACATATCGGTTTGGTTCTATGGTTAGGCTTCCAGATCACTCTATGAACTTGTTATCTGTAGTTTACAAACTTAAATAACATGTGAACTACCTAGGAAGATTGCAAATATTGAGGATTGAGAACTGCTGAATAAGTCAATTCTTTTGTAGACTGCTCATATTGTGTAATGTAAATAAAGTTACAATCCAAATTTAACCCACTCTTTTGTGATGTAAGCAAATGGCCTATGATGCAAAATTTCTACGGGTCCCTGAGATACTCTGGCTTGGAGGCTTCCCTTTGGACTCGGAGAAGTACCTACTTCCACAACAGTGTCTCCTTCCCTTGACAGCACAAGGTGAGGGATATGGTGCTTTATTTACATTTGCATTACTATTTCTTTTAGTAACATTTACTAAGGTTCCTTATAACCATGCCAGACAAGAGGAAAACAGAAGCCATGTTACGTAGATGCTACTTACAAAGAGAAGTGCCAAGGTGGAGGTAAGAGACTGTAAGCTTTCTTATTTCATCCATCATGTGACTGGATTAAGTAACATGAAGTAGTTTTGTTCTTTTAGATTGGAACTACAATTGATGCTGGAAAGAGGAGTGAAATTTGAGTTAGAAGCATTGTCTGTGCATGAACTTAACTTTTTGTCGGCGGTGTACATACCATCTAAAATTCAAGGTGGAGTCTACATCTAACATCTTCTACATCTGTACTTGTTACCTTGTGGGAGAATTTTTTTTTTGGATTTCTGCAAAGCATAATCAACATTTTCATTGCAAAACCATTGTTTAGGGGAGAGAATTTGATTAAATGTCAGTTAATCGCATCCGAATCTCTGTTTTTCCTTTTTTTT